ATAAACCAAAATGACCAGGGGTTTCAATAGAAGCCAGCAACCCATGAATTTCACCGACTACTTCCCAATTCATTGCTGCCTACTTTCGAGACTCAAATTTCATTTGAGTCTCTTGAGTTTCTTTAGTCACACAATTTTTCACCTGTTAAATATGAAATATGGAATAAAAAGAAAACGCTTTTTTGCTGTGTCCATTTTTTCCTTTTGCCGTATTAGTATATTTCTGAAAGGTCACGGTTATCTTAACAATTTCAACATGCAATGGTTTACAGTGTAGTTTGTGAAGTCAGCCATTTTGATTAAACAGAGGACAGGGACTGCTGTCAATTCTTGCCTTGATCACATTCGCTCTTCCATGACTTTTAGAGGCTACTTCAGTTCCAGTCCATGTGCTCTGACAATGGAACCCAGCCATAAACATACTGGAGGTGGCAGTATTTTAGCATATTTTAATAAAATGATCAAGACCGGAAACAGAAACAAATCTGTAAACTAAATTATTACCATTGTTTATCCATTCATTATCCAGTCATCAAATTCGCCCCAAAAAATCAAAGTTAAGATTATTCACTGGACATTGACTGGAATTTTCTAACACAGGCAAATTGCAGTTTCAGTTGTTTAATAATTCAAATGTTTTTTGAAAAGATTTCCCTTTGGTTTTCGTAGTTAATATCCATAAACACTTTCATAAATAAAGATTCTCCAATGAAATTTGACTGAGCCAAGGCTCGTATAAACTAACTTCATGCTGTCAGCGTATTGTGAAATGACTTATCTTGTTGGCATGCTGTCACTGCTAGCAAAGTGTTGCGGCACATGCACATTTTACCACATGATGATTGCATTGCCCAGGTATCCAAGGCTTTTTTCGATGGCACAGGGACACCACAGATGTGCATTAACCTGTTTGGTGCGCTTAGTTACAAAGTTATTACCTTATAATTTTTAGTTTTTAGTAGCTTCTAAAAGTCATGGAAACTTGTGGATATCAGTAATGGTTATGCTTGTGACCATAGACTGATAGTAAGACAACAACAAAGCAAGTCATAAACTTTCATTCTATTTTTAAACATTGTTTTCCTATTTCATTTCATGTAATACTTCTGGACTTCAGCTATGCATCTACAAATGCTTCACAATTGCTGTACACTGTATGTGATGAAAAATTCCCAAGATTCAGTATATTTCTATGGTTGATGTTATCCTTTAATTAAAATTGAACTTCAACTGAAAAACTAAACACAGTCACTAATGCTATTGTTACTTATTTAGTACTGAATTTGATGGCAGAATGCAGGAAATGGCATTTCTGGGCTTCTAGATTCCAAAATTTTCTGGGTGACCATGCCCCCAGACACCCCTAGAGGGAGGGGCCTCATGGCCCCTGAAGTATTACAGCCGCCTACTTTAATAGGGCCTGCCGCCTACTTCAGAACTTATTGAAACCCCTAAAAACGACTCCTTTAGGAGCCACAAATGATCAACGGTGCATCAGTCTGTGTTTTGTAGTTTATTTGTTTAAACACGGGGGAAATACCAGCTGGGTTACTATTCTGCTCACACAACTGGAAGGTCTCTTGCGCTTTCACATCACCTCGAGTCGCTGTTTTTTAATCACCTCAGAAACAACTTGTTGCTATACAGCTTTGGAATGATGCATAGATAAATCTGCATAAGAGCTACATTTAACCAGTCCTTGGGTCAAAATCCCCATCGGAAATTCTTCCTAAAAATTTTGACTCGACTCGTGTATCTGACTCAAGATATTCAACGCGACATCCATCTCGAAAAATAGGATGCTTGTCTTCGATTTGTTTGCGGGATGTTCACTCTCCGACAAAATGGCGTCCAAAAAGCACAAATATATTACACACCGCTTGTAGCTATTTAAATATAAATGTACAGAAGAACAGAACTCAAATAAGCAGAGGCGGAAAGTGTCCGCTGAGAGACAGAAAGCAACAGCTGATTTTGAAAGCAAGATTTCACGAACCAAGTGCGGGCAAGAACTTCTGTAGCACATACGAGAAAAGTAATCCAGCAGTGAAAGACTTACCTGACGTAGCTGCAAAGGGGGAAAACCTCCAGTGGAAATAGTAAGTTGTTCCTTCCAACCAGCGCAAGAAACCCAATGTACGTGCAACCACCCTGCTTGATATGAACCTTGCATGGGCCACATGCGGGCAAACAAAGACCACAATGCAACGCGCCCTCAAAATTAAACGCCGTGGCGAGTTTGTGAAGCTGACGTTTTGAGCGTGATTTTCTCACGAGCTGTTGAGTTTAGTGGACAATAAAAACGCTTAACTTTTTTGTTTTTCAGCTTGAGGTAAATTAACCGCCGAACCTGACATTTCGAGCCAAAGCTGTTGCTCAGGACAAAGAAGACAACGCTGGAACCGCACAAAAAGATGATTCGTAATTCAAATTATGGACTCCCTAGAGGGTCAATTCACTTCCTTATTCTTTTCTTTGAAAAATGTCGCCGTGACATGCAAAAACTCAACGATGTTTCATTGTGTAACTTATCCAAAGAGGAATAGACGAGTCCAACAAATCTTCGTAAGAACAAACACGTAGTCGAAGTATATAGTCACTAAAGCGGCCGACAAAGGCGATGCGGCAGTTTTGTAGGCGGACCGATTTATACCGACAAGACACTTTCCGGCAACTACCCAACACCTCTTTTGATGCCAAAGTAGACATATACCTCACAGACCTCAAAGGTCCGCCTGCCAAAAAAATTTTCGCAAATATATTTATGACTGAACTTATTTCCAAACAAGGATTGTGACCTACTGTTCAAAAGTCTTATTATCAACACTCAGCCATGAGCTAGTTCAGTACACTGACTTCAAACACAAAAATCGCAAATCGTATAACCCAGGTTGCCATTTTGGGCAAGATTTCCGTATAACCCCATACAGTTCTTTGTTTAACTAGACAATAGCCGAAACAATAGAATTCATTTGAAAAAACGGAGGACCTCAGCGCTTGATCAACGTACCGCCAAGGTGCGACACCCCTATCTCCCGTGCTTTCTGAGATCATTCTCTAGTAATTTTTACAAAAATAACAGATGGGATAGCAATGGGAACTAAAATGGGAGGGAGGCGTGATAGAACGAAAATCAACTTTTAAACTAGACTACGAGTAGTCCCTCTTTCGCTTGGTCCGATGACGGACGCTAAGAAAACCCCGAGAAAAACAGGCCGCGCGAACTCCTGGGGTCGAGAAGCACTCGCCCCGGGGATTTCAAGCAGCCATTTTTCCTCGCGGCTTATAGCGGAGTTCGGGCGGCCCGAAGGGCCGCCAAGCGGAGCACCATACCCATATAGGAAAGTAAAGGAAACCCACGAGCTGATTTTCATCATGGTTATCATGGCTAGCGGTATTATTCGTGGGCGCGTACGCACGACGACGACGACCGCGGAGTCGCGCAAGATGACTGCCATACTCCAGCTAATAAGTTGACAGAGACATATATTTTACGGTCTCGCTCGACGGAGTAAACGAAAGAGGGACTACTCGTAGTCTACTTTAAACCAAAATACCTGACCCAAACCAGACCTTTTCAGTCGCTAAGCTTTATAGATGGTCGTTTTGGTGCAACCTCGTGTAGCAGTAAACGCTACTTACGAGCTTAATTCATCAGTTTTTTAGTTTTGGGGTTATCGTACACATACTGAGATGTACTGACTGTACTGAGATGGCGCAACTGTCGAAATATAACACTAAGGATTTGTTTGAGAAAAACGGTTATTTTCTTAGTCTCAAAAAATGTGAACGGCTATGCATAAAAATAAAGTCTAAACCTACTTCGCTTCAGGTGCGCGTTTCCTTGTTTATCGTGAGTTTTCTAGGTGGATTTATAGCCATTAAGGTGATTTTTAGATCCACTGATTTTCCATTCAGAAAAGAATTCATCGGCTTCAACTCTCGCTTGATGACCAGTTGATGGCTCCCTCCGGACGGTGTTCCGCCATGTTATTTACACTAGTGAGCATGGAAATTGACTAAAACTAATTAATACGTCTTCGAACGATGCGTTTAAGATGATGCGCTTTCGATCCAAAACCTTATCCAACGCTTTGCGTTAACACCACCACAGCGTTTTCACCTCCCCGTACTAAAATGCTCGGAAAAGCTGATTTCCCGCTATGAGAAAAAGTTACAATAATCAGCGGCGAATGCATGAAAATACAAATAAATGACTACGAAGGCTTTTAGTCTGTCTACAGATGATATTGTTGTTATTTTGTTGTTGTTGTTTTTTCTGCCACTTCTCTCGCGGTCATACCCCCACCACCTCCCCTGCGGTTCACCGGTTAATTTTGCGCGCGATCTCGACGAGCGGAAAACAAATTTGAGAGCAAAACTATGTGAACAGACGAGAAGGCTTCCGTTTCCGCTGTCCGCACTAATACGAAGAACTACGTTTCAAAGGTTTGGATAGCGTTTTTGAATGTTTGCGTTTTCCATGGAAACGTTGAAAGTTTCCGATCGTTTTATTAAAGACGGAAGGCGGAAACGCGTTCAACAATGTGCAATTTCGATCAACTGAATTGCATGAGTGTTTCCTTCGAGTCGATGTAAATTCGTTGCGAGATCCCTGGTTTATTTTAATTAACCCATGAAAAAGGTAAAAGGCAGGTCTGTTCCAGTGGAATAAATTTAATTGCACAAAGTCGTATCGTATATTAATTGAGTTTGGAGGCTGTTGACTTTTGTATTATTTTTAAAAATGTATTCCTATCATTTCTCAGATATTATCTAGGGAGCACTCCCCTTAGTTGGCTCACGCTTTGGCGTTCCTTTCTATTCCCCCCCCCCCACCCCCCCCTTAAAAAAAACACACTCAAAAAGTGCAAGCAGGCCCCGAGATAACTGCTTGAAAATCCGAAGTATTGCGTGACCCGCAACATTTTAGCGTGACAATATCGGATTGACAAGCCTCACTTTCAAACCGCGATTGTTTATTGCAGAGGCCGGAAATTAAGCTAACAGTTGACTTCGTGTATTAACGACTGAACGTGGAACATCAAAGTGTCTTAAGAATTTTACCAGACCATCTTTGTTAACTCTTGATGGAAGAATACCGTAACGGGTTCAGCCCTGTGCTCGCTAGGATTAAATTTGCTACAACTTGATCTGAGTGAAATTGCAACATAAATACGAAGAGCTATAAAACTTGGAAGCAATTCATATTCATAAGGTATGTCAATAGATAGAAACTTTCTTCAAGTCGTTTTGCATTTTTGACCCTGATGTTCAGTAATAAAAGATGTGTGCTGCCGTTTAAACCTCCTAAGTTTAATTTAACTCGTGGAACTCTTGGTGGGTCCGTTAATATTAGCGGCTGTAGTGAAGTCTGGGATAGAACATGACGATGGCTGATTAAACTAAGCAATTGGTGTTGTATGAGTTCACCAGTGTTAGTTAGTACCTAAATGGCGTTACTGGGTAAACATTACACTTCCTAGTCTTTATAGTACAAATTAAAAACAAAAAAGTTAAGGAATCATGGACAACTCTTCTGTAACTGTACTTCCGGTTTTTCGAAGATTTTGTGGCCGTCTGTTAGCTCCGTTAGCCCCGCTAGAAAAACTTGCTGACTGTCGACTGTCGACTGACTGACTGACTGACTGACCGGTATTTTTTTGACTACTGCCAAGCAATTATCCTCGATAATGACAATTCAGAAAGATATTTGTCACACAAAAGCTTCATTTCCACAAATTCGGCTCCAGCTGCCATTTAATAACAAGTTATTTTGCCACTTTTTGACATGCATTGATTTACGTTCGTGGAATAATTTGTTGTTTTCGAGACGTGGTGATGTAGAAATATTATTTTTTAGATTAATTCTCGTCTCATTCAGTTACGACAATACTAATGACGCTAGTTACGTTTATAAACGAAACCAACTGAGTGAACTACAATGATGAACTTTGGAACTTTGCAGTATGTTGACATTTACATGTAATATTCGATGCAAATGGCAGTTGAACGGGCAGTAATACATCTGTAAAATATGTAACTACTGATGACTTAAGAAGTAGTATCTTAAGTAGCTGAAAGAAGTTTGCAACCTTTTCTTTGGCTTTCTGTGCTTAGTAATAAGCTTTTGGGGTGCGATCTCTTCATTTCAGTTATAGAGATGCACTGAAGTGCGAAGGGTAAATTTATTTATGTCACGTGCTAGTCATTTGAGCGTCGGGGTTTTTCCCGGAAATAAGGATCAGTTCAGCCATTTGGTTCAGTCAGATTTAGCGTTTTAACATTAGGAAGACGATATGGAGAAATACATTCATGTATATTCCTGTTCAGCACTGGGATAACTGATGCGACCTTTTGGAAGTTAAAATTAAGGACGGTGCCTACTTTTGTTAGTGCGCACACGTTCTGCGCATCACGCAAGGTACGGTTTAAGCGCCACGGGCGCGCTGGGTTAACATGACAAGTACGCGACTAAATTGAAAGCAAAATTTTCCTACTGTGACCAAATCAAGTTTAATGAACCTGTACTTAAACCAGGAACACCAGAACAGTAAAATATCGCTAATCACTAACTGTTAACGTCTTCCAGCTGAAAAATTAGCTGTTATCTGTCGAAAATTATACTGAAATCCAACTGTGAACATGTACCTGCAGATGGCGTAGTGCGCGCGCAAAACGAGTGCGAGGTACGCAAATGTTTTACTTACTGGGGAGGTGACAGGAAAAAATGTAACAGGCACCGTAAAAAGTTTAAAAAAGGATCAATAACTTTAAAAAACGCGTGG